TTGAAATCAACTCGACCGCAACGGGTTTGGTTTTTGGTTTGGTGTGTAGAAACCCGACTGATTTTTGTTTGTTGACTTTGTACCCTGAAACTTTGCCAAATTCCTCTATCAGCTATAGAAGTTTTCTTGTGAATCCTTTGGGATTTTGTATATGTAGGATCATATAATCTGTGAGTAGAGATAATTTTACTTTTTCTTTTCCAATCTGGATACCTTCTATTTTTCTTGTCTTACTGCTTCAGTTAGGACTTATAATACAGTATTGAATAGAAGTGGTGAGAGCAAGCACCCTTGTCTTGTTCCCGATTTCAAAGGGAAGGCTCTCAGTCTTTCTCTATACTTTGTCAACATTTAAGTATAATGTTGGCTGTTGGCTTTTCATATATGTCCTGAATCGTACTGAGGAATTTCCCTTCTGTTCCAATCTTCTTAAGGGTTTTCATCAAGAAAGGGTGTTGGATTTTATCAAATGCTTTTTCTGCATTGATGTAGATGGTCATGTGGTTCTTTTCCTTTGTTCTGTTGATGTGGTGTATTACGTTGATTGATTTTCTAATGTTGAACCATCCATGCATTCCTGGGATAAATCCCACTTAGTCATGGTGTATGACTCTTAATATGCTGTTGGAGTCTAGTCACTAGTATTTTGTTGAGGATTTTTGCATCTCTGTTCATAAGAGATATTGGCCTTTTCTTTTCTTGTGGTGTCTTAAGATGAACTATTCTTGAATATATTTTTGCTTATACAGTGAAGTATAAATGTAAGATGTAATGGAAGTTAAGATCACCCAAATCATACTACTCCCACTTACTCCCTGAACAGCATGTACCACACACCCAAGTGGATTTGTGACTCAGTTAAATTCTGATGAAATTCAGTACACTACTGTTTGGTAGTAGTATTAATAGTACTTTAGATTTTGTTTTAATCTTTAGTGGAGTCAATTAATTAAAACCTTTTTTGCTTAGGATTTCATTTCACCCACATTTTCTTTTACTAACAATGTATTATTATGAGCAATGCATTACAGCTTTTTGAAGATGGAAAATCCTCACTGGAATTCCACTCAGCTAAAACCTGCGATCTGCAAATGCCATTTTGTATTGTTAAGGGAGACCTTGAAATGAAGCCTGCTTTTGCAATCAGACATTTCTTCCATGTCTAGAAACATGTTTGAACTCCTAGTAGGTTTGCCACATTTAATTCTTTCACTGCTCTAATGCTATGTCAGGTAAGCTCAAAGGTGATGCCATCATGTAGTTTCTGTGCCAATGACTGGCTGGACTCGTATCTGCATAAGTGTTGGTCTCATGTAGCTTACATACTACTTACATAATAGCTGGGGGAGGCAAACAGTAAACACAAGTAAACAACTAAAACAATTTAAGAAAGTAATAAATGGTATGAAGAAAATAGTAACGTTACAGAGACTGATTGGGGCAACTCCA